GTGTATACACATTACAGCTGAAATAGATCTTTGTAAGCTTTTGTATAATCAGGGGTTTTGTCTGTCTTTCAGAGTCATGTTAGAGTTCTTGAAATGTCATGTTTACTTCTCCCTGTAGAAGATTGTTATCTTTGCCTGAGGCTTCAACTTGAGATGTGTTTTCCATCAGAGCATCCAGTTTAGCTTGAAGCACTGGTTCTTACACAGTTTATTTGTCCTTGGGTGTTTTAGCTTATCTTAGAGATAAGGGTTGGTAGTCCAGGAACAGAGTAATGAAGCATGCAAGGTCAGCTACCACAGTAACTAGTTAGAACTGACCTGACACCAGCAGCACATCTTTTTATCCACGCCTTTTAGTTTCTCCACATTTGATTATTTTACTCGGAAGAGAAACTAATTACCTAGCTGCCTCTTGACTTTTTTATCCTTCCTTTCCACTTCTCTGTAAGATTTAAGCCACATCTGTTTCTTACTAGTCATTTGATGTGCACTTCTAACAGAGAAAATGTTTTATTTTTTTGGAACCTTTACTCTGCTTTGTTATTCATGCTGTGACACTTCTCTTAAATACTTTCCAAGATGTGAAACCTAGGGGTTTATCAAAAGCAAAACCCAACCACTTTATTTATCTGAATCTTGTCTGAAGATAAAGTCTTGAGGCTGAATGATGATGAGTTTTTATTTACATAAACAGGTTTATAAAGGATGAATCTAGCTAGATGTGCTCAATTTTTAAGAAGTTTAAATATGGAGATAATGTATATCTAAAAGCAGAAGAAGAGGTGCTTTTGTTAAATAAATAAATAATAAAAAAAAGAATCCCCACTCCTTTACTAAACACCAAAGTATGGTGTAAAGTATGTATATAAGTAAAGTTTTGCAAAATTATTTCAGGCTTCGCAGGATGACAACATTTTCAGAGTGAGTGTGGATTTGCAGCGGCAGAAGCTGGCATCACTCCCTAGTTTTAGTAGGAAACGCCCCAGGTGCACCTTGCATGCCTATAGGTACCGATGTTGCAAAGATCAATGCTGATTCTGCGTCAGGGTTGCTCTGTGATCTCTCCAGCGGGTTTTCTATGGTGCTTTTCTTTCTTTTCTTTTTCCAGGGGCAGAGAATGATAACTGCAAGTCAGATTTTTTTTTTTTTAATTTTTGTAAAATTCTTTTTCTTTAGAAAGGATAGCCACAAAGTCATGTATGTTCAGCCACAGTGAAAAAAGATCTTCTTTGCCCACCAGTATCAAAATTCTTTCTCCTGAACCACATCCTCTTCACCCTGCTTTGAACCAACCTCAGGACTGCTTCTCTCCATCTTTGTCTGTTACACACAGAGTCTGCTAGTGATTTCTTTTCTATTTTGTTTACTTAATTCCTGCTCAGGTCTTGCCTTATGGTCAAGTAACCTTTCCAGTTTTTGGTGATCTCTGCATAGAAGAGGCTTAATTTACTTAGAATGATTTTAATGTACTCTTTGACACTTTATTATGTAGATATACTTAAAACATGGTGTGTTTTGCATGCATGTAAACTTTATAACCCAGGATGCTTAATGTCTGCCACAGATGTTTTCTATGTGAGTTCGTCTTACAGCATTAGGAATATGCAAGACTGTGATATTGCCTTGTGCCTTTGTACTGTTCCATTCAGGTCCTGGTATCATCTGAACAGTTAACTGGCTCTGCCTGCCTGTACCAAAATGTCTTAATCTGGGTAGCTGCGTTTATCTTTATAATCTTGGCAAAATAGGATTTTGAGCATAGAAATGGTAAGACTACCAGGTGACTTCAAGGTTTATTTTTTGGGCTAGCTGGGGGAAATTTTGTACCTGCAAACATTCATTCCTTTGAGGTGTGTAAGCATGCATACCTCCCAGTGGGTTGTCAGAACTTTTATTCACAGCTGTGGTGCAGCATCAGGATTGAGCATCCGGAAGAAATTTAATTGCTAGTTATATTGGCCAAACAAATACAGTTTTAGGGATTTCTTTTGTTGAGCATCTGGGAAATAACAAGGGGAGTGAAATCAATACAGGTGGTGATAAAACTTGAATTACTGCAGTTCAGCGTACACAGCATGTTAGTACTAAGACATAATCTTGCCAGAAGACACAGGTGAATGGATTCATTTAAAATGAGCAGAAACTGCTTTCTGCTCAGTTGTTGAATGTAGGGTTTTTTTTTTTGAATGTTAATACATGAAATTGTCACCTCTTTTTTTTGAGTGTGTTGTTTATTTTATGTTTTTTGGACAGTCTCCTGGTTAACATGCAGGGTATATCCCCAAACACTCAAAGGAATATTAAGCATATGCAGCAAATTGTCACAGTTTAAAAGTGGGGGTGAGGAGGGCTACTTTTTTTTAAAGGGACAAAGGGAAAGAAAAAAAAAAGGTCTGAACTTAGAAGTCTACGTGAGTTTATCCCACACAGGGAGGATCATGTGGCACAAGAGATTCTGAGTACCTGGGTAACTTATTTCAGAGGTGAGCTACCGGTCACCCAACCTGCAAAGCTGATGAGGAGAAGGGGCACTGGCCTTTGTATGAGGTTCAGCCATAAACTGGGAGCAATAACTTCCTAACTGTTGCCACCTAATAAACAGATCTGTCTACACTCAGAAGCAGCTCCCATAAGACCTCTGTAACTGATTTTTAGTATTTTCTTTTCAAATAAATATTTACACATATGTACTCTGTGGGTTATGTTATTGATTACAATATGACTTGTTATTGTTGAGAAGGCTTTATTCTTCTAAACAAATAGAACTGAATAATATCTCTCATTTTACTTAATCTTTATTCTTAAAAAGTGGATTCCTCCTTTCTTCCTCATGACATCTTCTCCAGGAATTAAGTGGGTTTCTTCCAGTTTAGAAGACTTAAAAATCCACGCCCCCCCCCCCTTTTTTGTTGTTTTATTTAAATGTATAAAAATATGTGTCTGCTATTGTGAGTAGGCTCATAAGTGAAGATTTTCACATATTGGACATGGTTGTGGGCAACTGGCTCTGGGTGGACGTGCTTGAGCAGGAGGGTTAGCGCAGATGACCTCCAGCAGCCCCTGCCACCCTCAACCATTCTGCAATTTTGTTATTAATATATGGATAAATAGTATAAAAATTTGTAACAGCTGATGTGAAGAATGTGTGTAATCTGGTTAAAAAGCTTCAACTCTAGCCCTTCTTCATAAGGTAACATAGAAACAAATAGAACTGAATAATATCTCTCATTTTACTTAATCTTTATTCTTAAAAAGTGGATTCCTCCTTTCTTCCTCATGACATCTTCTCCAGGAATTAAGTGGGTTTCTTCCAGTTTAGAAGACTTAAAAATCCTTTTAAGAAGACTTAAAAATCCATCTAGTCCAACCTCCCTGCAATGAGCAGGGACATCTTCAACTAGATCAGGTTGCTCAGAGCCCCGTCCAACCTGACCTGGAATGTTTCCAGGGATGGGGCAGCTACCACCTCTGTGGGCAACCTGTGCTAGTGTTTCAGCACTGTCATTGTGAAAAATAAAGATATGATTTAGCTTTAGAGATTTCCTTCAGAAACTTAATTCACTGGTATTGCAGTGATAAAAGTCAGAATTTAGTAACTGAGACAAATAGACAAATAGCATATTTATAAGAATATTGAAGAAGCCTCTAGATGGCTGAATATTTTATGTATTTTGAAAACACCTCTGGAGCAGTGACTAAAATCTGACACTTACAAAGTAACCCTGAAATAAAGGGTTGCAGATGTATTATTTCAGCTTACAGATTTACTGCAGAGTATGGCCAATACTGGAGAGCTGCTTATTCAGAGTTTTACCCTAATATTTCAATGCGCAGTTCTAAGCTTATTTTAGGATTTAGGACATGTAATTGTATAGCAGTTGATTTCTGATCATTGTTGTAGTATCAGACTGGCTCTCAAGTGTTCATTGAGTCTGTCCTCTTGAAACAAAGAGTATTTTTATTCCCTTTTTCCCTGTCTGTGAAACAAAGAGTATATTTATTCCCATTTTACAAGTGGGAAATAAAAGCAATCAATAATTTAATATCAGGAGTATTTGTGAATTTGGGCATACATCTAGATCCTGATTTCTCTTTTTTCCTCCATGTGTTTTTTTCTGCTGTATCTGGCTTTATATACAACTTCACTTTAGAAGCGTTGACTTCAGCTGCAGCTATAATGCTCAGTACTTCTGCAAGTCAGATCCAAAGATCTCAACAGAAGCACCAAAAAATGGGAAATATGTAAATAATGCCCAAAGGTGAAAAAACATTGAAGGAACTTGTTAAGGAACTTGTCCATTATCTTTTAGTGATCCTGTGATGTCAGATGTGGAATCACTCACTCCAGTAAGCTCTGCATGCAGCAGTGGTAGAAGGAGCCTCTGGAAGGGAAATAATTGCTGTAGATAGTCATGAATCCTGAAAGACCCTGAAAGCTTACATCTAGTGGCGTATATTTTTCTTCTTTCCGTAATTTGTGTCATGTTAATTGTTCATATTTTCTTTTTGTAGTTCTTTTTCATCTACAAGTAGTGGTTGAAATCTCAAATGCACTGCGAAAAAATAAATGTGCATTTTTTTTATGGTCTCATTGTCTTATTTTTCCCGAAGTCTGTCATATCAGTGCTTTTCAAAATAAAGTAGTGAATTTTGATTTCATTACTTCTCACAGGGGAAAAAATGCAATTTGTACGAACTGTTACTGACTTTTTGTTACTTTTCTTCCTGAAAAAGCAGTGAAGAAAGTGTGGTATCAGAGCATTTACTACTGTAATGTCAAAGCATGGCAATGACCTAAATAGAGCTGACACAGAACAGCTTTCCAGACATATGAAATGGTAACAGTCAAATATTCTGATTAGTATAAAAACACTTGATGTATTTTATTGAAAGCTTTATTTAAAGATAGTAAATATATCCTTTTTGAGAGTCTGCTGGGGATGGTGATGAAAGTATTTTTTAATAATTCTATAATAATAATGATGATCACTTAAGGAGCTATGGTGTTAACAGTGTGTTTTTATTTTTCTTTTCACAGCCCACATACTGGGTGGCAGAATTACCAGCCTGATGTGCCCCGGATTCCCACTGCTTGCATCTCTGTGGAAGATGCTGAAATGATGTCCCGGATGTCTTTCCGGGGCACTAAGATTGTTGTGCACCTGAAGATGGGGGCTAAGACCTATCCAGATTCTCCTTCTTTTAACACTGTGGCAGAGATAGTTGGAAGCAAGTACCCAGAGCAGGTGAGTGAGACCATACAAAAATAAACTCATTTTGTTCTTTAAAAATATGAAAAAGGAACCCCCCCAAAAAAACAAATGCCTCAAACGAGTAACTCTTACTCACGTACTCTTCTATATTTCAAATAATTTGGCTTTTCAGTCTTTTTCAGGTAGCAGGTTTGAAACCACCAGGCTCAGTTCTATCATACTAGGATATATTTTAGAAAACTGTAAGAATTGCTGTGTTCTAAGAACAGGAAATTCAACTAAACTGCACACAATTTAGCCTCCTCCTTTTTGTTTCCCTGGCTTAAAGCTCACTTTAAATAGTACCATCTGCATAGGATTACAAAGAAGCGTGTATGTAAGCAGAAGTGATATCCTAGCACTGTAACAAATACAGTTATTGTTTTAATAATAAGTAGTAAGTTAAGGTTTCCATAATGATTTGTGCTTGGGGCTTGTGTATTGTTCTGTTAATAATCTTAAAGTGGTTTCTTGATCAGGCAAATAAGCCAGGTTCTGCTGTTCAGAAATCAAATTGTTTGCCTGAGTTTTCCCTCAAGTGTAAAAGTGAATGCAGGATGTCAGTTTAACTTTTTTGAAGATGGTTTTTCTTGTGCAAATTATTGCTGCATTTAGCAGGAGTTGTACGTGTGTTAGTTTGGAGGAATAAGCCATCTGTGCTAAAAAATATCTTAAAATTCTTTTTGAACACTAGTTAAGCCTAAATTGTTGGTTTCCATTTTGAGACTTTTCTTCTTGCTTTCTGTTTTCTTCCAACTTCTTAGCCAAAAATCATACAAACTAAATTCGTAGTGCTGAAGGATTTGTGCCTGGTATGAGGTCTTCTTGTCAGCTTACAAGATGGAATGAATTCTCTGGCAGTATGGTTTATTGTGAAAATGCTGATGCAACCTCAATTACAGCAGTGCTAGAAATTGCTGCTAGAGTACATCTACTGGGCCATGATTCTTTTTCAAAAATTGTAGTTTTCTAACTTCAATGGAAAAGAAGAATGACTATCTCTGTCCTTTAAACCAGGCATAGCTCTTAAAATCTTTTATCTTTTCTGAGATGGTAGTTTTGTAGCTCTGCCCTGTGATGTCTAGAGATCCTCAGTGTTAGCGTAAATGTTTGGTTTCAGAAGCTTGATCACTGGGCAGGGAAAAAGTAACGACCCTCATAGTTTATTGGTTTACATACCATCACCTATGAGTCTAACTTCATGAAGCATATATTTACCAAGTTAAAGGCAATGCCCCCACTACTAAATTAGGGTTCAATTAATTTAATTTTGTATCATCTGAATTTTTAGTCATGCTTCTAATCAGCTAATAGGCTATGTTTGGTATATTTAAAAATTCAACATTTCAATTCAGGTTATGAATGTCCAAATGTAACCTTCAAAGATGTGTTAAGGCGCTTGCCTGTACTTGATTTTCTCTTTGCTCTCCTGCTCTGTTTCTTTAAGTAATGAAACGAATTGAGATCTCTTCACTTCTTCCACTGAGAAGCTCAGTTTTTTGAAACACTGGGTAAAGACTTATTTACAAGCCCCCTGCTGATGTTAATGAGAGTGGTAGTGGACACACTTTGAAAATGTAACCAAGGAACAGAAAAATAAAACAAGTGAATGTTTAGGTTTTTTAGTACTCAGTTCCTCTTGAAGCCTTAATGGGTACTTCACCACACTCATTCCACTGCGTTACTGCGGTAAAAATGGGAACCATCTAGCTATTTAGGCAATAAAATACATTGCAGACCCAAACTCTTAGAATGCCTTTTATGCTAAAGTGTTTCAAAATGCAGTACAAATCCAGGGGAATAGAAAGGTGCCGTTTCCACGGGCCAAATTTTCAATTTAAGTTTGGAATTGAAACAAAAGCAAATCTGGATCTCTGAACTCTGGGTGAGAAATCAGCAGCGGGTGGTATTACTCTTACAAAGGTCTAACAGTTTGAAATTAGGCTGAAGCCTGTGAAACGTAACTGGTCACAGGTATTGCAGCAAATTATAACTTAAAAAACTGGAACTCAACTGAAAATTAGGGTTGCTGTAGGATACTGAAGAAGTCTGGTGAGAAGTGATGCAGTTTTAGATGTAACTGCACATTAGGCATGCTTGTATTCAGCCATATATTGACCAGAATTTAATATACTGTGTGATTTATAAATAATTCATGAGTTCCTCCTGTGAGATTTTAGCATGTTTATTAAAAATAATCACCAAGAATCGAAATTATATTTGTCTGAAAATTTTATCTATTACAAGCCATATCGAATATTATTACTAAAGTCCTTGAAAGGGGAAAATGATTTAGTGGTTTTTCTTACCTGTTTGGGTTTTTTTGCTGTATTTGACCACTCTTGCAGCATGTCCAGTTTAGTCCCTCCTTTTTAGGTAATTTTTCTGAGTGGTTTGTGTGGATTCCTGCATTTAGCAATAGAGGGGGGAAAAAAAAAATGTTAAGGAAGACAGAAAAAAGAAAGTAGTTTAAATACTTCTGACATACTTTCCTAAAAGTTTGCTTTATTTCAGACTTAGTGTTCTTAAAGTTGTGTAACACATGCTTTGTTTTGCTGTTGCAAGAAATGTTTTATATCATCAAAATTGAAACTCAGAATTTTCAAACTTGCAAACTTGTGTTTAGGCTAGAGTGCTTAACTTCAACACATTTACATTTACATTTCTGAATAACTTAAAGCAATAAAAGAAATATAATTACTGCTTTGTGAAGCAAAAACCTCTTGGGAATGCATTCATCTTCAGAAGTGATGATGTGGCAAGGGTGCAGATGTCCTGTTGCTTTTTGAGGCAGCTCCACACCGAAGGCATGCAGGTACTTTTGCAAAGTTAACCCCCTGATACTTCAGGTTTCTGTTCTGATTTCACCTTTCTGTTCAGCCGGCCAGTACCAGTAAGTAAATGCTTTAGCATCAATTGCTTCAACTAAGAAAAATGCACTTTGAAACCTACTCTAAGTTGCAACTTTGCACTACCAAGTTTTCAGGTAACGTAGAAAGCATCTGAACAGAAAAAGGAAATGGATTTTGTCATGCAGTCAGTAAAGCTCAGTGTCTCACCAATGTCTGTTTATTTTTGCATTATCCCTTCTAAGTTAGGGAAGGGCTGCTCTCCCCAGACAGGACCCTTGCTAATGTCAGAGCAGGCATGACTCTGCATGTTCTGAGCACAGACACCTACCGTCCTCCCTGTCAGTCCTGAGGTCTTGCTTTAGTGCCTGCTGAGGCCTGAATCCCTGCAAGTGCCCAAAGGAGGTTAGCCAGTGCCCATAAGGTAATGAGTTCAAGATCAAGCTTTTCTTCATATAAACAGGTTGGAAGCAGTGGGACCAAACATGCTATGACTTGATGCCCTGGCAGCCTTTCTGAGCTTGGGATCACATTCTCACGGTGCTTAGGACAGCAGCAAGAGTGGAAAACCTGTGGGTTGTGGGACTTAGCAGTCATACAGGCTTAAATATGTTGATGGTTGAGCCAAAGAGTTTGTGAAATGAGAAAGTTATAGTAGCAGAACCTGCTGAGATCCGTGCTGCTGCAGGTTAGAGACATTTAAAGTCCATCCCCGACTTTTATCTTGCAGAAGGAATTTTTGAAGCACACCATTGAACCTGGGACAATGGTGTTAGCAACCTTTTGTACTGTATTTTGTATTAGTGAGATGTTTTATTTAAACTATGTAAGTTGAGACACTGGAGACTGACTGACTGACTGAGAAATTCACAAGTTAACTAATGTGGTTTTCGTTTGAAATTCAGGCAGACCTGACAGTAAAACATGTTTGTCTTCTCATTTTAATACAGATGTAACACGATTGGTCTTAAAGTGCAGAAGCAACCATTCCCATCTTTGGGGAAACACTATAAATAGTGGCTGTTTCTTGTTAGTCTGGCTTCAGTGTACCTAATGTGCCAAACATGGAACCACGAAATGTATGATTAACTGAAAAGGTATCAAAGTGGATAAAGATATAACTCTTCTGTAATCCTGACTTTCAGTATCTTTCCACACGGCGTATTTCTTGGTGCGCAGTGCTGTTTTAACTTATCTTGCAGTTACTAAGTCATGGGAAAACTGTTTCCTAAGTGGCCTACAAAGTACATAAATTTAATGGTTCCTCATTATTCTGTGATCTGGCATCAGAGCACAAACAGAGGGGTTCATAAGTGGCTTTTTTGAATCCTGAATACCTGTTCCAGGAATTCACTCTACATGGCTTTTTTGCCTCCTGTTTTTATGGAGTGCCATATCTACAAAATGTACCATTTGAAAAGTGACCCTATTTTGAACACCACAGGCATAAAAGACCATTGAGGAATGTGTTGTAGCTCTGAGCCAAGTTTGGACAGCACTTTGAAAGTGGCAGTCCTAGGAATGACCTGAGAAACAGAGAAGCTAAGGTAATAGATTGTGAAGTTCTTTACCAATCTGTGATTGACATAACAGAACCTGTTCCACAAAGGAAATAGCAGCTTATTTACTTTTTCATTCTTCTTCCTTTCCCTATTTCAAAAATCAGCCCACTCTTGGAATCTGTGATACTGGGCAAAGCTCCAGGGAACAAGAGAACATGAAAATTGTCCAGGCTTCAGAGCCCGTTAAGCTTTCATGCACATAAGGGAAGATATAATTTGTAGACAAAAAAAAAAAAAAAAAAAACACAACCCAACACACCCAACCCCAGGAAAAAAAAAAAAAGACTTCTCTGAAGATGTGTAATACTCAGTACAATGTTATTTTATGGCCTGGCATCAGTTCTACATATGTTAACAAAATGTCTATCCATTAGCCCTTTGATGTGGCTTCCAGATATCCCTATGCTCAAACTAAACCATGCATACAATAGAGCTTTGAGTAGAAATGTTTTAAGAGCCTGGTGCCATCACGTTATGGCTCCATTATCACATTTGCTCCATGTGGATTGTTTTGCTATTCATTCCAAAATGTTGAAGTGTTTGTAAGTGCATTTCTGTGAGGCTCTCTCCTGTGACTGTAAGC